TTGTTTTTCTAGTTTGGGGTTTCATCATGTGATGCTAATATTTTGCAATAGTAGACTAAATTTGAGATTGATTACTGACTTGTCTGCTGAATGGAAATGTGTGTAAGACTTGCTCATTAACTTTTCTTTTTACAGTAGGTTCCATAAACTTGCCTGACCCAATTACGTGCTTCAATATGGCTGTTCCTTGCTTCAGCTTGAGTCTTTTTCATTTGTCTTTATATATATATATAGACCCACAGGAGGTGTAGAAATTAAGCCTGCACACCCCCCCGCCCCAACCCAAATCAAACCCTCCCTCCACTCTGAACAATAAAAACTATCCTGACAGTTTTTTGGAAGTGGAGTCTTGGATGATGTGTGGATCAACAAGTGAAAGCAATTGTGAACTCTAAGATGCAAATCCACTGTAATTACCACGATCCCAATGTAGTGAGCATGCTTCCTTTCTGGGTTTTGGCAACTACAAGTATGCATCCAGTGTCAGTTCCTGAAGCTCAACTGTTTTTAGAATCATTGAATCATGGGATGGTTTGGGTTGGAAGGGACCTTAAAGATCATCTAGTTCCAACCCCCCTGCCATGGGCAGGGACACCCTCCATTAGACCATGTTGCCCAAAGCCCCATCCAACCTGGCCTTGAACACTTCCAGGGAGGGGGAATCCACAGCTGCTCTGGGCAACCTGTTCCAGTGCTTCACCACCCTCATAGTGAAGAATTTCTTTCTAACATCTAATCTAAATCGACCCTCCTTCACTTTTAACCCATTACCCCTTGTCCTGTCACTACACTCCCTGATAAACAGTCCCTCACCATCTTTCCTGTAGGCCCCCTTCTTACACTATCTCAGTAAGCTGTAGTTGCTTAACTCTTTGCAAATGTAAGTTTTATGCCCCTACTCTGATTCGATCTTATACAGAGAGATGAAATACTCTCTTGTGTAATGGATAATCAGTTGGCTACTGGACATTTAGCGGTGCACATCCTATCATAGTATCTTTAAATAAAAAATTGTTGGCTTTCTTTTAATTTTAAACTATAACAATATTTCAGATAGCCAGAATTTTACATGAATGTACATAAAATCAATTTTTGGCTTGGTAACATAATTTGTGATCTGTGAGGTCTCTCATCAGACAGGCTGGATGGGAGATTAGTTAAAGCTACTGCTTTTGTTTTATTTTGCACTATTTGCATCCAGGCTTCATCTGCAAGATATTGTAATGGCTAGAAATTAGAGGCAACCCTGAAGACACACTGTAAAACTATTAATAGATGTTCACATACATAAGAATGACCCAGGTCACCAAAGCTCTTTGTAATGTGATACTTCCAAACAGCTTTTCAGGGCTATTACAGTTTCATCAGTCTTACCAGTGAAATGAAATATGAATTATGAACAAGTATTACTCCTACTTTGAACACATTTAAATTACATTGCAGGTCTTGAAAACAACGTTTTTCAAGGATGGGCTTGCAAATTCCATGGCTACTCATAGGAGTACTTTAGATGTGCTACTTGTTTGTAACACAGTTAAACACATTATATTTTTTGCATGCCATACAATTGTAGAGTCAGAATAGCTTGGTCTTTATGTTGAAAATTGCCTCCCCGC